TCAGCCTTTTCTGCTCCCAAGGAAACAATCCCAACCTATCTTGTCTCCCCTCATAGCTGAAACACTCCAGCCCAAGGAACATCCTGGTGATTCTCTTCTGCACCTTCTCCAGTGTAATCTCCTCCTTGCTATAATATGGCAACCAGAAATATAGCACAAAATCTATGGAAATTTTAATGGTAGCATTTCTTCACCACATCTAAAAAGCTTTAAGAAACACTGTTTATGATTTCTACTATGGTGAGATGTTATTGATCCCTGGCAAAGTTGAGAGTACGTGCCACACATGTGGTGTCATTGGTGATTTTGGGTTTACTCTGCATCATTTATGGTGCTCAGAGGAGGAATGAATTGGAAAAGAGAGAATTAATCACAATATAAAAATTCAAAGATGATGTTGCCACCACTCATAACAAAGGTATATTGTTACTTATAATAACACTGCTGCATCTATTTGTTGAGGAATGATAAGTTATAAATAATTTGTACACGCTTGAAGGCTCAATTGGTAACTGCACTGCACAATGTGGAACTCAAGCCTAAAAGGTCACAAGTTTCATCCTTAGCCCATGCAGAGTTGGGGGAGGTCAATCAGAGTGTTAGTAGAGGCACTGTATTTGGTCGCAGTACTCATACCCCCTAACCAAATTGGTGCTCTCAATCTTAATTGAATAACTGACTTTGGAAAAGTACACGTGTGGAGGCTGGGTCAGAATTGGCTGTGATGCCTACCATTATCACACATGAGAAACAGCTACTTTGGCAAAGATTTGTGTAGTGATTGTAACAAGGTCAGCCAGGTGGACCTCATGGAATAGGAGTTCCCTAGCTCTGGGGCCGTTAATCTGGTCCAATCAGGGAGTCCTGACTGACAGATATCAACAGGAGTGTCAGATACCCTGTTCACTCAGACAACTGGCCCTGAGGGAGCTGGATCAGTGCCAAGAAATCTCCACATATATATAAAGGGTGACTTGGTGATGGGATACCAGCCTCTTTGAAAGACATCTGGTACCATGCCACTCAGCCAGGGCTCTCAAGTTAAGAGGGAAGGTAAATTTGAGGAAGAAAATATGGAAGCTGGAAGTTCCTGACAACAGCTCTGCCCCAATTCCTACTGGGCTTATCTACTTGGGCCAGGAATTGTTGGCCTTGTTTCTAATTAGGCATAGTTTTATTATCTAATCTGTAAATAGCTGTACTACTTATGACAATGTATACTTAACATCACTGCACTTGTCAATCAGCAAACAGAACCAAATGCTCATAAGTTCACAAAAGACTATCTAGGGAGTTCCTAATTTGCCCTTTCTTTTATTGTAGAAAGCATTAAAAGTACAGTATTATGATTACTTATACCAAGATGCTTGTAAATGATTATATTTCTGGTTATAAAGCCACCCATGTCCATTTGCAAACACATCATTTACAACAAGCAATTTTCTTCAAATGCAATCTCTGATATTCATTAGCTCTGAAAGCTTGCACAACGAATAACATGTGGTTAATGGGCATAACAGAGGCACCAACCTTTTCTTATTAAACATTCTACATAATCCCTTGCTGTGTTCAATGACTAAAGTGGTTTTAAAGAGTGATTCATAAGACTGGATTAGGTCAGCTTTGGTTCAGACTGACTTATTATTTAAAACTAAAGGTCAGGCAAGTGGGAATTGAAACTCTTTCAATCAGTCCATTTTCCTTCCCATCATGACAGCAAACATATGAGTTTAACTGTAAAACACTGCTATTTTCACTCCTACTATCTTAATTGCTACACAGTTGCATTTTTGACAAATAGATTTCACAAATTATATCTTTCTTATGATGCCTCAATTTCACCAATACACTAGATATGATGAAATTTGCAGCAGAATACTGATGTAACAGATATTTCTTTAGTTTATATGAAAGTCTCCATTACAAAACTCTGCTTTGGACATGAAATAATGTTCCATTATGATACAGAAAGTTCAGAATAAATATTTGTTAATTTCAAACAACACAGTTCCAGTTAAGCTACAAACAGCATTAGGGAAGTAAATCTAATTGTCTTCAGCAGTACGTGTGCAGGTAAGTATTCCCTTTTCTTGATTTTATATTATAAATAGGAGAAACTTTGTTGAGATTTCCATAAGAAATAATTTGAGAGCATGTTTGCTTTTCTTATACAGATTAAGATGCAAGGTAACCCTAATGCCACTAACCCCTAAGCAACACACTTTCCAATCCCACCACTCTCTGAATACAGTTTTTACAACCCTGCAGCCTCCTCACAGCCTCTGATCAATCCCTCTGTAAACTGATCTGTTGCCACCCTTAGCACACACCATCATAAACTTCAAGATTGCAACCCCCCTGCCCCCGCCATCACGGGTTTACACAGTCTTAGAGTCTTCACTGACTGACCCCCTGGCCAACTGGGAGCCTGTCAATTGATTAGGTTTGGCTTCTAGTCAGTGATCTGATTGGTGTGAGTTAAGTTAAAGTTTTGCTGCAAGTGAGGAAAGCTTGCTTTCCAGGTTCCCCATGGCCCATCTGCTCCAGGCAGGTGCAATGATTCAGTCCTGTCAATTTGCAGCATTGATTCATTGCAGCAAAACACCCATCAGGTGGGAAACCGGATGAAGTAGCAAAGCATTGGGACACAGAGTGGAGGGAGCACTTTAGGTCGTGTGAATTTGGTCAAAGCAGTGCAGTGAGTTGGACAGAGGAAAAGGAAAGGTAAGGGAAGGTAAAAAGACATCAAATCAGAATTAGGAAAGAGTTAATGCATCTGACCAAAGCTTTGTACAAAAGAGTAATTAGCTATGAAGAGTGGCTGGATAAGCCGAGGTTGTTTTCCTTGGTGCAGAGAAGGTTGGGTTTGGTTTGGTGGGGCGGTGGGGGGGGTGGTGTGTGATCTGACTGAGGTGTACAAGATTATGAGGGGCATGGACAGGTTGGATAGAAATCAGCTATTCCCCTTAGCTGAAGGATCAATAATTAAGGATCATAATGTTAAGGAGAAAAGCAGGACATTTAAAGGGGATTTGAAGAGAAATATTTTCACCCAGAAAGTGGTGGGGATGTGGAATGCACTGCCTGGGCAGGTAGTTGAGACAGGAAATCTCACAACCTTTAAAAAATACTTTCATGAGTACCTGAAGTGTCATACCTTTCAAAGTTGTAGGCCTAATGCTGGAAGATGGGTCTAGTGTAGGTTTAGTGGAGTTTTGGTTGTGCAGAGTTGCTGGGTTAAAGGGCTTCTTTTGTACTGTATGATTTTATGATTTGATGAGTAGTTTCGAGGCGGATATTGAAAGTAGGTATGACAAAGAGTTCAGGAAAGAATTCTAGTGCATCAGGACTGTAATGTTTCTAATGTTGATTCTAAACAGTGGGCTTGAGGGGTTATAGTAGACCATATGCAAAATAGAACTCCAACTCCAACCCAACTCCAATACTGTAAAACTGAAATGAAAATGGCAAAGAGCAGCTTTATGGTGGCCCAAAGAAGCACCTGCCATATTAAACATAAAAAAGAAATAGAAAAAGTAAACCATCAATTAAGCTAGTGTTTGCATGTTATTATATTTGTGCATAGAGTTCTCGTGAAAATTTCTGTAAATTTCTCCCTCATGCTGCTCATAGCTGCCTAGGGAAATATTGCTTCCCTGTTTGAAATGTTGTTTATGGATGCTCATTGTTCATATGCAAATTTGAATCTGAACACATAATTTACTTTTCAGTTGTCTGGATCTGCTGGACTAATGACAAGTTATTCCATTTTTTTTCAACACTTTCCTGAACTAATGAAATGTGGCACAAACGGTTTATAATTGTCTTCCAATTTTTTTTTGTAAGCATAATCAAGGTTCATTACACTATATTAATTCTGTTGATTTCTTCTTATGCTTTATGTTACCATGTCAACAAAAGAAGTCTTATATTTGCTGCTAAAATAACCATGAGGCTCATGGCATTTATGTAAATTGGTGCAAATGCCACAGCATCTTTAGGCATGCACAAATGCACAGTTAAAGTTGTAGATCCAAAAGTCACTGTCCAAGACACAAAACCTTTCAATTAAGGCTGGATTTCACTGGTTCATCATTTAAGACCATGAGGTTGCTATATTAGTATGGTAGGTTAGGGCTAAACTAACAACAGAAAGTAAAATCTTATACATTCGAGTATATGTGATGAGCGTTAATTGATGTCAGACAACAGAAAATTCAGTCATGCAAGTGTAACCTGATTTTGATGTTGAAAATTCACCGACTTAAATTTACATTTCCTCCTCAATTTCTGAACTGCTTATTTCCCAATCCTTTAAGATGATTCATTAAGAAGATATACTGTTACTTGCACTGTTCACAGATGCCCCTGACAGACTGTTCGGTTCCCAGTTTGTGCTGTTTGCAAATTGTAATGCAAAACATTTCCAAAATTTAAAGATGAGAGCAAGTCTAACAAATAGAATGGATCCTGTGACTGGAAATTGTAGCTATTCCTATTTTTCCCTACTGAAAATTGGATCCTGAATTTTTAAAGGTCAGTTTATAACTAAATGCAAAATGCATTGAATTTTTGAAATTATCCCTGATTTTGTTTTATAACTTGTAGACCATGTAAAAACAAAAGGCATTTGTTCTTAAAAAAATTTCAACCTATAAAGGATTGGATTTTACTCCAATGAAGTTCACAGCGTCTGCTAGAAACAGCATGGTACTCTGTAGGATCTCTGGGTTCATTTAGTTCGAGGTGTAACTACAATAATCCATTTTATCCAAGCAATTATTTTTGCCCACATTATGTATCCATTGTTAATGGTTAAGTTTCAGACAGATTGCATATCCTAGCTCGGAGCTGCTGTTGTATCAACCAAATAAAAGATCATGGGGTAAAATAGTGGCAGCGAAAGGAAATGGGATTATGTTACACGGAACTCTTTTAGAATTGTGAACTTACTTGTGCTTAGAGAGGGACTTTTTGGTAAATGGAAATTGCTACTTTACCTTGCTTGGAGCCACTTCGGTCAGCGCTGGGTCCAGTATTTGGAGTGTATTTTGGGTTCCGGGTTGAAGCACTTTGTCTCGTCCAGTCAAAATTATCAAGCCGATCTTGTGTGAACCCACAGATCTTCTCGTTTTCAAATGCACAGTTGAATTCTCCTGTTAACAAATACATGCAACTTCTAATCATTTTATTATAGCTGTGTTTATCATTACATATTTTGAATATATGATGGTCCAGCAACAGCTTAAAAATACTAGTAATTGGATGATAGAGGTATGATGTAATAATGTTTGTTATGATCCTGTTATAGCTGGAAAAGTCAGATCCAGATTGAAACCTAGATTGTTAGATCTTATTTTGTTTTATTTTGGTTTTAATAAATTGGTCTCTTGCTGAAACATATGGACACAATGTAGTGGATGCTGGCTTGACAATAAATAAGAAGTTTGTTAACAGAATAAACGTAGATAAAATAGAATAAACCAAACCTACTTATATCATGCATTGAAGGATTTTTTAACCAAGCAGGAAAAGTATAATCCCATTATTCTCAAAACACTCTCACAAATTGCAAAGAAAAATGACAGTTTTTGCATAGTATGCAAACACGACTCATGCATTACCCAAACAAGAATCTCTGTCTCTAACAGCCTAACAAGTGTAAGTCACTTGTGAGTTTAACTTATAAATTGGAACCGAAGGGATCATGTGGTGCAGTGATAGTGTTCCTACCCAGGAGCCCAGGTTCAAGTCCCACCTGCTCCAGAGGTGTGTACCACCATCTCTGAACAGCTTGATTAGAAAAAAAAGGTATAAATTAGAATTGCAGGGCTCTTGTGGTGCAGCAGTAGTGTCTCTACCCCTGTACCAGGAGGCCTAAATTCAAATCCTACCTACCCTGAGAGGTGTGTAACAACATCTCTGAACGGGTTGTTTAGGAAAGAAATATAAGGCGGAGCTGCAATTAACTTCTTCCTGAAATCACTACATTTTGTGACCAATGATATCATAAATTCAAGGTAATTAGACATTTTGACATACAAGATTACATTTGTTAACTGAATTCAATATAGATGAGTACAAAAAGTTGATAAAACAGCATTGGCCACATTAATGTTCCCCTACCATTTGATTGTACAACTTCATTTGCCACACTCTCCAAAAGGCAAAATAACTAACCCAGGAGGCAAAAGAAAAGAAAAGCAGTGACTAATCTGAAAAAAAGAATTCAGAAAAATTCCTCCTTGTCTGAATAAGGTCCCCACGGAAACGGCAAACGGTCCATATTTATCTATGACTCATCATTAGACATATTGCAGTCACAGAATTTACTCTCACTGTCATTGTCAAGCTGTGCTAATATCTTTGAGAACATAGGCTATAAAGAACCAGTTATTGATCAAGCTTAGTTAAAAACTAAACAATTAGTTGTAAACTTCCAAATATTCATATTGTTGTCATTTTCACCATGTAAAATATTCAGCTCAGTGGCACTGCATCACACCCTTCATCAGAGTCTCAACACATTGACTTCATAGAATTCACATTAACAAATCAACTCCAATGCATCATCAAAATACTCTGCTGGATCCATCAAGCAAAACGTACGACATGTCAACCCATTCAGGCCATTTATCTTTCAGTCACAGTTCATACACTTGGTGACTCTGTGGACTCCTGCCCTGTGTAGTCTTATGCACCAAATAGGTCAGATTCACCAAACTGCCAGAAACCTTGTTATCTCTAAGCAGGGCCAGCCTTAATGAATCTGACAAGATTGTTTTGGGGATTTCCATTGGCTGTCAGAATTTTCCATGTATCGTGAACCAATGGCAATAGTATGCATGTCAGACAGTATAAAAACAGTTTTCATAATGAGCAGGAATTAACATAACTTCAGAGGTGGAAGATCTTGGTTTGGTAAATTTGCTGCAGCTCATTGAGGATGTGATAACAGTTAGTTTAGATGACCTTGGTGAATTCTTGGATATGTCACTGGCAATGGAAAATCCATAGGTTTAGAGCTGGTGCTGTTACCACAATTTTACACTAAAAAAAAATACAATACAGGAGCAGGCTGTTCAGCCCCTCAGTCCTGCTCCGCCATTTAATATGATCATGGCTGATCATCCAAGTCAGGTCCCTGTTTCTGCTTTCTTCCAACATATATACTCAACATCATGTCTCATCCTTGCAAGCTACTAACCCTTCCTGCTCTCTGTACTTCCTACTCACTCACTGAGGACACTTTACAACCTCTCCTGGTCCTGCATCAGCACTAACTTTTTTTATTCATTCACTAGGTAGCATTTATTGCTCATCACTAATTGCCCAGGGGGCAGTTAAGGGTCAATCACATTGCTGTGGGTCTGGAGTCACATAGTAGGATGGCAGATTTCCTTGCCAGAAGGAAATTATTGAACCAGATGGGTATTTCTGACAATCAACAATGAATTCATGGCCACCGTTAGATCCTTAATTCAAGATATTTATTGAACTCAAAATCCACCACTTGCCGTGGCAGGATTCAAACCCAGGTTCCCAGAACATTATCCACTAATGCCACTAGGCCATTGCTTCCCATCTGCTCTTCCATCCATTGTCATCATACTCAGTGCCTCCTTATGTTTCATTAGAAACTATCTAGTGCACCTTCATGACAGATGCCTCCACACTATCCCAACTGTCAGCCCTGTAATCTTCACACTGGTTGCACTTGACCTGTAAGACTGACTATGGCACAATCCCCAGACTACACAGACACGGATCCTCACACTCTGCTGGGACTGAGCACCTGACATACCATGGGCAGGAATCTGAGCTGAAAAAGGCAACCTGTTTATTAAGAGCTTCCACCTCATTGAGTATTCAAGCAATCTTACAATCTGCTCTGAAAACTTTACTCACACTTTAGCAGTCCTGCCAATCCACAACATTCTAAAACAATCACCAACATTCCAAATGAGATAACCCATAATATTAAAAACATTAACCTGCTCATCTCACAATATTAGCAGATCTTTTATTTTAAAAGTTCCAATATTCAGACCCACATCTTAGTTAAACACTAATCAGTTCTTCTTTTGACCATACCCTGAATACCAAGATACATTGGAATCAGTACATTAGTTTTTGAGATTACTGTTTACGAATAGACAAACACATAGGTAAAAACATTACCTCTCCCAACTTCAGGAGTAGAGGTAATGCATTATGTAAATACATCCTTAATTGATGCATGTCACATTTTAAATCAACATCTTTTATTTTTAAAGTTATATCCTCTTTAATTTCAAATGAAGTTTGTATTATCATGTGCACTAAGAATAATTTTGACTCTAAATTTGTGTGAGTTTATAATCCTTGCAAATTAGGTGATAATGAAGCTTCGCATACATGATCCAACTTATTTGCGAGCTCAGTTCTGCATATTTTTGACTTAAACACATCAGTACCGAGTCTGTCAAACTGGAAATGGGCAATCAAATCAAGTTTACTACATTGACTTCTTGATCATCTTTGCAGGTAAATTGGCTACCCATGCTGGTACAAAATAACATATCAACAGCTAATTTTGCACACAGATCATTTTCATTCCCGTGAAATCATCGGGATATAAAATGGTAAAAGTGGAAAGCTGTTCCAGGGCTGGATTTTCAGAGCAGGTCAAGAATCCAAATCCCAGATGAATTCTGGTTTGTGACTCTGCAATGTGATTTTGAGAAGTAAATGGTCTAATTAGGTGCCCAATTAATGGTATCATGTAAATCCAGGAGGTGGGAGGTATTTGTCTCGAACCAGCTGCAAAAGCAGGTGGCAGCCATGATGAGGGCTGCCACTCATTGGCAGCTCCTTAAAAGAGGCCAGCAGTGTTGACACAGAGCAAAGTGACGATGAAGGTAAAATGCAGGTACTACACTTGACATGGGACAAGCTGGTCGACGAAACAACCGATTTTTACAAATAAAACAAATTTTTAGATGTCCCATCAAGGGAACCTGACAGCTAGGAACTAGTGTGTATCAAACTGTTTGGGTTTGCTGATTTGCCCTTTGAAAAGTCTAATGTCAATATTTGAATGGAGTCTACCAGGCTGTTAATTGGAACTGAATGGGTTCCTGGCTCCCTTAGCCCACTGGCAGCAGCTTGAATATTAGAGACTGTCCTTGAGGTGTCATGATTCAGAGACAACCTCCAAGACTTTAAAATCCCACCCAAAGTAGGTCCTAGCCTTGAAGATATTTGAAGCTCAGGTTTTAAGTACAGGTGCACCCATGCATTTACGGGGAGTCTCTCAGCCTGCCTGGAGAAACACTGGTACTCTAACCCAACCCTAGTCTGCCATTTGGAGGCAATTTCAGACAGTGGTGTCCAATGCCTCCAGGGACCCGGAGACTGACTGGACAATTTGAGTTGGCTTTCAACAATAGACTTCAATAGATCATCATCGGGGAGAATTGGCTAACTGCTACTTGCAGGTGAGTGACTCTATCGACTTGTCTCCACACAATCCTACCTCCAGGATAATGATTGGGGAGGGGTGGGGAGGTGAGGGGGGAGTTGAGACTGATACAGGAAACTGACAGGACAGCTTGCAGAGAGATGCTTTGCATTCACCCACCTCTATGCTAGCCCCATCAGGGCCCATACATTCAGTTTCCAAAGGTACACTGGTGACACTCAGCTCTACCTCTCACCCATCCACTGCCTCTGTGCTGCTGAATTACCTCACGGGCATCCAGTCTTGGGGGCTCCAGTTTCCTGCATTTCAACACGTAATCTAACTGCATTTATATCCTGACAGAATCTTCATATGTTTTCTGTTATTTCCTTTGCTCCGTGACTCCTCTTTTTTTATTGCAAAGAGGGTCTTCATCTATTTCCTTAATACGTCTTGTGGGCATCCCCATTAGAGTCCTTCCACTGCTAAAAATAACTCATCAATGTCAGGGGTTCGAAAACCCATGATTAGTAAGTCACCTCCTGTCTCCATAAAACCAGTGCAGCATTTGAAAGACAGAACAGTGATGGAATTACTCCACTTGCCTGGATGACTACAGCTCCAACAACATAAGAAACTCGACACCATGCGGAACAAAGCAGCCCACTTTACTGGCATCCCATCTGACACCAAGAACATTCATTTCCTTCACCA